TAAAGTGAGGCCTGAAATTTGCCACTCTTGCGATAACATATAGTTGATTAAAGCACGTACTTGTCATACAGATTCGTGGACTTGTAATCCTCCCCGATATATTTCCACTTCTTCAACAGAATGATTGTCTGGCTGTTTTATCTTTAGACTTGTTTATTTCGTGACATGATTTTCACTTTGTTAATTACTCAAATTCAGCACGTTATTTCCCACATTAAACGTTAATCCAACCAGAATGTATGATGTATATTTTAGGTAGATAATAGTTTAGGTTTGTGTGTCTTCTTATACCAGATTTTTCCGATGTTTTAGACAAAGGATTCTTTAGAGAAAAGTGGATATCTAACCAAGTTGGGAGGGAAGTTCAAAACATGGCGGAAGCGTTGGTTTGTCTTGAAGAACGGAGTTCTTAGTTACTATAAGTCAGAGGTAAGATATGCTTGAAACATGAATTTCAATAAGACTGATGTAAGGGAGCTAAAAATAGTTATTTATAGGATAATAATCTAGTAATGTAAAAAAAAGAAGAAAGGAACGACATATGAAGCTCTAAACGTTATTGAATATGATATTGTTTGTCATTTCGGTAGTTCTTGTTAGGGTTAAACCTACTATGATTAAGAATTTTGATAAGGCTGTATCATTAGATTATTTTGTAGAAAATATATTATTAGATCAAAAAATAAATATTGTTGTCCACTAATCACGCTCATTATCTGGTTTCCCTATCACAACAACAACAACCCATCACTGAGCCCCCTAGTGGCACAGCGGTATGTCGGCGAACTTGCAACTCTAAAAACTGAGTTCGATATCCGTGATGGACAGAGCACAGATAGCCCATTGTGTAGCTTTATGCTTAACTTCAAACAATAATCCATTACTGACAGTCTTGCCCATTCAATCTTTGGGGCGTTATAACATGATAGTCAATCTCACTATTCGTGATAATAATATAATGGCTCAAGAATTGGCGGTGGATGGTGTTGACTAGTTAATGTCCCTCTAGTCTATCATCACTAAATTAGGAACTGCTAGGGCTAAGTAGCCTCCGAGTAGCTTTGGGCGAAATTCAAAAACAAACAAACATTATGTGGTCTAGTTTTGTTAAAACACAAATTTTATAAATAATTTTGAGGTTTAGTTTGTTTGTTTTTGTTCTGTTAAAGAACATCGGCGAGTTAAAAGTAAAAATGTTTTACGTAGTAGACTAGTTATGGAATGTTAATCCACAATGCATTTTATATGTCATTTGTAAATGTTTTACATAGTCTAGTGTTTAGTGAACCAGCTTGTAGATCAAACAATCCAAGGTTCGAACTTTGATGCCACTGATCACTCTGAAAATACGTTTGGGCTGAAAATACCAAATATGGGGTTGTTTAATGTAGCTAGATTTATAGCTTTAACAGTAATATTTTCAATAGGAACGAAAAACGGCTGGTTGTTTAATGCTAACAAGTCAGAGACTGTAAAAAAGAAGAAGAAAAACAGAAAGAAACGAATAAAGCAGCGTAAAGTTAGTTAGTTGTCAATTATTATTTTTTTGTCAGCGCCCATTTTACCACGAGTATCAGTAAATAGGGTTGATGTTGTTTTTGTTTGATAAAATGAAATGCTCTTATCTCTTTAATTATTAATGTGCTATATCTGTCGAGGGAATACTGTTATCATTCAAGAGCTGGTAAAAGTGTCTTCGCGAAAATTACACTCTGCCTCCCTTAGAGGTATCGTAAACGCGATCTGTAGATAATTAAACCTAATATCGCCAAGATTTAATTTATTGGTCACAATATTAAAAACTTACGCTAATAGAAAAGAATGGTTAATCAAAATAATAGCATGATGACTTAATTGTCCTTAATTTTGTTATAAATAACCATTAGGTTCGTCAAAGTCGAAACTTTTTTTCGAACTAAAATTTCAAAAACAAAAAAAAGCAATACATTACACAAAACGTCTAATTATTTTTTTTTTCTTTTCAGCGTGTACGTAGATAAAGGATCTCCAATGCTAATTGCACATTTTGTTTTCGCGTTCACTCGTGAAATTTTATTGGAAGACCTTTGTTTTTTTTTAATCAAAGTTTACCATGATAGAATGTTACAGAACATTCTGATTGTAGGATAACTTCTTCGATGAAGTAAACTACCATTATTTCACCGTAACGGAGTGGCGTGTAATGTGTATGTTCACATTAATTAATTCTTTTCACCTAAACCAATGTGGTTGCTTTAAAATGCAGCTAATAGGTGTCAAATGTTGAATTCAGATTACGTAGAGCCGAGAGTCTTGATTAGCATTGTTTCACTTGATCTATTGCAATTTCTCTTCTAGTTATAACTAGGAGGTCGTTAACATTCAGAGACTTCTATGTACTTCTGTGACCGTATTTAACGCTGTTAGACATCTTTGTTATCCACAGAACTCATAGGCTCTTGTAACATTTCAGTCGCTGCTGTTAAGTCTCTTAACTATAAGTGATCAGGCATTCTTTAAGTTCGTTTAATGGTTTTAAAGTTATTAAACTAAGTTAGACTTTAATAAATATTAGTCCTCACGAAATGACTAATTGATTTAATATTACACCAACGGCATAAAGGGTACCTAGTTCAGAAAATGTAACGTATTATATGTGATATATATATAAAGGCATATGTTTTACGCAGACTTTTACTTTAATGCATTTTGTTTCCATCATTACAGTATAGGCTTTCGCAGTATATCAACTGCTTTTCAGCTTTGCATAACCTTTGAAATGAAACTCAAATTTTGCTAAAACCACTAGAAATATCAAAATCCATTAAAACGCCCATTTATGAAAGATTGTTTGTTTGTTTGTAGTTAAGCACAAAGCTACACAATGGGCTATCTGTGCTCTGCCCACCACGAAACTCTGTTTCTAGCGTTGTAAGTCCGCAGACATACCGCTGTACTACTGGGGGGGGGGGACATTTGAAATAACTCTGTATTTAAAACAAAATCATATTTAAAATTACGATTCAGACAAGAAAACTGGAATTGCGTTGCCCACCATGGGTATCGAAACCCGGTTTCTAGCGTTGTAAGTCCGCTGTACTACTGGGGGGGGGGCATTTGAAATAACTCTGTATTTAAAACAAAATCATATTTAAAATTGCGATTCAGACAAGAAAACTGGAATTGCGTTAATGGCTGAAGAAGCCTGGAAAAAAAAGAAGGTAAAAAGCGATTATAGCTTTAGACAATCAATGATAAATGCCCAATAAGATGTTGCTGTCTTAAGGTGTAGATGTATCAAAGTTCAAAGGTGAAACTAGAGATCAAAAGGCCAAAAGTGAAGTCAGTTCTCGGGTCAGAAAAATGCATTTTAGATGGAGCACCTGCAAAACTAGTTGGTAGCAAGTTAATATTTAAATAAATTCAGGCTTAACAAGGAAACTACTGGGTAGCCTGAGTATACCCAATATGGCGCTTTTGTAAAGCTAAGTAATTCTATATCAGTTTTATACGACTTATACATCATTGTCCAGAGAGCATACAAAATATTAGGTGCTATTTCATGAGACTACTAGAAAGATTGTATTAAAAAATACACGTGCACCAAAGAGAGATGTTTCATCAAATTTCTTAGATGTGCGAAGTTTTTCTACATTTTGCATTTTACGTCACAACAAAGCATTTACTTCTTTTAATTGGGCTTAGAAAAATCATATCGTTTAATAATATATTATCAGGGATGGGATATTGAAACCGGCCTCGAGATCAGATTATGAAGTCTTGGTCTTGACATGTCAGATCTCTGTCTTGGTCTCGACGCCATCTCTGCGAAGTTTCAAAGTAACTTCACACTCTGATTTGGTTTGTGAAAACAGTCAGTTTTATGACAACATGTGATTTTGTTTGGTAGGAACATGGTCATCCAGCATCGGAAGAAATTAAATCTGCCTTAATGAATGGTATCACTGATGCTTGTTAATCTCTTTTTGCATCATATTCAAAGCACCGGCAATAGTCTCTAGGACCCAGTTCTAAGTTTACAACAAGCTATTCTCTTGTTTTATCGGCTTTAAAAATGCTCCCATCAATACTAGGACAATATCCTTTGTTAAATTTGAAAGAAAATATCACCTTTTCTAAACTTCGTCCATTCTATGAGAATACATTTTTCATCTCTTCAACATAAGCGGTAATAGAGAGGGTCTTCAGTCGGGGGGGGGGCTATTCATGAATTATATAAGAGGATATTCTTCATCCCTTCAACATAAGTGGTAGTAGAGAGGATCTTTAGTCGGAGGGGGGCTATTCGTGAATTTTATAAAAGGATATTCTTCATCCTTTCAATATAAGTGGTAGTAGAGAGGATCTTTAGTCGGAGGGGGCTATTCATGAATTTTATAAAAGGATATTCTTCATCCTTTCAACATAAGTGGTAGTAGAGAGGATCTTTAGTCGGAGGGGAGCTATTCATGAATTCTATAAGAGGATATTCTTCATCCCTTCAACATAAGTGGTAGTAGAGAGGGTATTCATGAAACCACATTGAGCTAAATGTCACCAAGACTTCTCTCTTGTTTAGTATTTTTTAATGCAACAATCACTTGCAGAGAAGGCTCTCATTTTGGATAATGTGCAACGTCCAAATAGATATGTATCAATTGGACATCCTTATCAAGAAATCTAGTTAATTCCTGCTGAGCTTTAACTGAATGTTGATTAAAAAAATAATTATATTTTGTTACATCAGCCTCATTAAAAATAGGTTTCATTGTTGTTAAATGTTCATTAAATGTAACACAAGTATGTAGTTGTCAATGGAAGATCTGTGCCGTACAATTTAAACCAAAATAAATGTTCTACACTTCTTCGTGGTGTGTATTCCTAGATGCACTGAGTGGAACTATGAGAAAGCTAACAAATATTTTTAATGTTTATATTGAAATGAATAGCTTATTATTTTTATTGGGCAACGTATAACTGATAGATATATTTATAACAGCAAACAGCTACATTTGAACACCAATATGAAAAGATTTAACTAGACATTTATTCTGCCAAATAAGATATTGATTATACAATGAGAGTCTGATATGATCACGCTTTTTTAATAATTGTTCTCGATCTCGGTCTTGACATTTCAGGTCAGATCATGGTCTTGATCTCGGAATGTATCAGGTCTTCCTCTCAACATGTCAGGTCTCAGTCTCGGTCGTTTGGTCTCTACACCATCTCTAAACACTTAAATATACACTTAAGTCAAAATAACATAGTTAAAACTGCCGAACGCAGCCCACTGGCTAGGGGTTTCGTGGTTCGTGTTCTGTTACCTTGAAAACAAAAAACAAAATAACAGCGCTCCGCACTTTGATTGTGTCACAAGAGTGAAGACAAAATCTTACTATTTGGTTTGATAAGATTTGGCGGTGGGTAGTGTTGACTAACTGCCTTCTTTCTAGTCTATCACTTCAAAATTAGAAACGGCTAGCGTGGATAGCCATCGTGTAGTTTTGCCTGAAATCAAACAAACAAAGAACTAATAATAAAAATATGATTTTTGTTATAGAACTAAGCCTGCGATTTTTTAAAGACTAAGTTTTATGAGCAGAAATAGTTTCGTGATAACGTAGTAGCGGTGAGACTACGGAGTTGAAACGCTAAAATTCGGGGCTCGATTCCCCGCAGTGAACATAATAGATAGTCCAGCGTGGCTTTGCTCTAAAAAAAACCATAACGAAATAGGAAATTGTTACCCTCTTTAATATTGATGAAGATACGTTTAATTTTTTTTTCTGGGGTTCTGTTAGCATATTATCATTAGCTGCGTTTTTTTAACTCTAGTAATGACACATCAGTGTTAGTTATTTAGAAAGGATTTTTTATGAAGAATCCCAGTGGAATTGTTTTACTTTATGATATAGATTAGTAAATCAACTGAACATTGACGTGTAATTTTCTCAGAGTACGAAACACACGTTTTCGATGGGAAATGCTATTATGAACCAAACAAAATATAGCAATAAACTTTAAATTTACATTTCTTAGTAAGAATGCCCTTCAAATGGCAAGCTTATTATTTAAAAGAATAACTTAAAAAACTGTGATTTTATTGGTGTTTTTTCTTTCGTCATTAACTGTAACGATTATTTTACTACAGTTATTTTCGTCCAACTTATCTGAGAAATTTTACAATTAGTCCAAAGTTCGAGGATATGTCATTGTTTGGTCACTTTATGATGGAACATTCTGGAAGCACCTATTTAAGTAAAAAAATAATTGTTCTGTGTGTGTGTGTGTGTAGAACACAATTTTTTGTCTGGAACTTACGAGAAATCTCATTAATCATTTGCGCAATGACAAAAGCTGTTTTCTAGTGAAAAGGAAACGGGAGCCAGTATAATTTAACAAGGTGACATTTGCATGCAACCTACGTTATGCCAGTAACGCTCGTGAGTAAAGAGTATCGCAAAAAATCGATATTAATTCTTCTGTCTCTCAAGTCCACGTTCTTCGGTTATTAACACAGTTCGCTACGTGTCTCCAGCAAGTAGTTTTGACGTTTCTAATTGTGATATAAAATTTATTTCAGTATCTACGGTAATTTTAGAGCAAAAGGAAACTTAAAAAGGGAAGTAAAGAATGGATGTCGCTATTCGTTTTATGTTTGTCTTAATATCGCACAAAACTTTTCGAGGGATATCTGCGCTAGCCGACCCTAATTTGGAAGTGATAGACTAAAGGGAAGGAACCAACCACCAACTGTTCTTTACAAACGAATAGTGGGATCGATAATCACATTATAAAGTCCCCACAGTTGAAACGGTGGGAATTTTCGGGGACTAGATTCTCGGATTGAAAGTTAGGTACCCTAACTATCAGGCTGTGCCAGGACTAGGGGATGTTATTACTTTATGTGATATTTCAATGAAATATATATTTAGGAATTTAAAAAAATCACATGAAAAAAAAGGCATATCCCCCCTTATGAGAATTTCAAAAACCAAAAAAACAATAATAAAAACACGTACATCATTTTTGATGAGCAAGGAACTGGTATTTTTTTTTTTACTTTCGTAAATTGTATCCAAACTAAACAATTTTGAGTTTCATAACTTTCTTAAAAAAAAAAAATAATCAAATCATTTCAGTGATTAATGTAAGCTGTGCTTGAATTGTAATTACTTGCTTTTGAAACAAACCGAACTTGAGGAGCCTTACCATGGTGACAAAGGCGGGTTGTAAAACATTTGGTTTCTGGTGGTTAATAATTTTTTATCAAATAGTTCATCTCCTCCGGAAGTTATTTCAAGTGACTTACATGGTTAATAATTTTTTATCAAATAGTTCATCTCCACCGGAAGTTATTTCAAGTGACTTACCTGGTTAATAATTTTTTTATCAACTAGTTCATCTCCACCGGAAATTATTTCAAGTGACTTACCTGGTTAATAATTTGGGACGGTGGCTTTGTCATAAGCAGAACATGATCGCCCCTTCAGCCGTGAAGGCGTTATAACGTGCCGATCAGTCCCACTGTTCGTTGATAAATGTTTGCGATGGGTGGTGTTGAATAGCTGCCTTCTTTCTAGCCTATCATTACTAAATTAGGGACAGCTAGCCCAGATAGTTTTGCGCGAAATTCAAATTTGTTTTATATAGTTTTATTGTATAGGAGTTTACAAGTATGGAGGTACAATACTTTAATTTGTGATTTTTTTTACCTATTTGTAAGCATATTAACAACTAAGTATTTGTGCAAACAACTCCTAGAACTAAAAACTACCTAATCATTTACCTACTGTTGTTTTCACACAGACTAGTAAAACTATTTTACGTTTAGTAAGTATGAATGAAGCTGATTGAGAGAGGCAGAGAAATGTTTTCTCAAAGGAAACATACTTAGAGTTTTTCTTTGATGTGCTCATAACTTTTTACGACAGGCTATGTGGTATGTGATGAAGTTTCATTATTATTATTATTACTTTAAATCCGTTGAAATTGTTTCTTGCTCTGTGTTTCCAGAATGACGTCAACAGAAAACCACAGGGTCAAATAACGTTAAATGAACTTTGTCGAGTGAATCGTGCAGAGGGCGCTGCTACTTTTGAGGTATTGACCACATACATTATTTCTTTTTTTTTTAGTAGTGTGTATATTATTGTTAATAAATTAATTAGGAATACAGTATTTGAGAGTTTTTACTGTTATGTTGTTTTTTAAGTAACATTAATTAGAAATGAACATATGTTGTATTCACTTTCATGTCCAGAACATTTATACTGACACTTTATAAGAATGATGTTCTTGATATCTGCTGCTTTTTAAACCAGGTCCTCCGTCGTCAATCATACTCATGCTGACGTCAATCACATTCATGCTGATGTCTATCATACTCATGCTGACGTCAATCACATTCATGCTGATGTCTATCATACTCATGCTGACGTCAATCATACTCATGCTGATGTCAATCATACTCATGCTGACGTCAATCACATTCATGCTGACGTCAATCATACTCATGCTGACGTTAATCACATTCATGCTGATGTCTATCATACTCATGCTGATGTCTATCATACTCATGCTGACGTCAATCACATTCATGCTGATGTCTATCATACTCATGCTGACGTCAATCACATTCATGCTGACGTCAATCATACTCATGCTGACGTCAATCACATTCATGCTGACGTCAATCATACTCATGCTGACGCTAATCGCATTCATGTTGACATCAATCACATTCATGCTGACGTCAATCACATTCAAGCTGATGGCGTTAATTGCGAATACTTCCTGACAGTGCAACTTCTACATTAACAAACTTCTGTGAATGACGTCGAAGTCAACATGAAACCACTCAAGTCGACAGACTTTTCAGATAGACCCTCCACTATACATGTCCATTGTCTTTCAAAGACCACGTTTAAGCAGATCAACGGCACAAAAGCCCATTGGAGCTGAATCGGGGGCTTGACAAGTATGGTTGACAGTTTTTCGGTCATCTCTCCCAGCCGTTGATTTCGATGTGTGACTAAAGGCTCGTGAGCCTTTATCAACTTTTGTTTGTTATCTTTTTAGTGGTAGGAGAAAATAGAGCCAGTTTCATTGGAATGATTTCGTAACTATAGCGTTAGTTTTGTGGATAAGGACGCTGTACCAAATTGCCTTGGAATGAGGTGCTTAGGAGCCTGTTTTGCTGTGCGAGTTTTCCCGCTTCCAGGGAAAATGCCGAAATTCCATTTCATAAAAATTTATCCGTTGGCTCAAGATCGTTTAACAATCTCGCTGTAAGAAAATCCTTCCTTAGAAAGGAATGTTACATATTCTTTAAGCCGTAACTCCACTCGTGGCAGCATGTCACGGAGGGGTTGGAATTCACCATCAACCATATACGTAGTTGTTAAACATATTGCCTGTGGTGCCACAGTTATCGCCTGCAGCTATACGGCACTGATTAGCGTATAAAAACCGTACTTATGAAACGCTAGTAATCCCCTGTATTCAGTTATTTAAAAGTGATTTGTTTTTAACGTGTATAGAATAAAATATATATATTGCTCGTTAATTGAGAGAAATATCCAAGTGAAGAAATAATACATTCTAATCTTTATAAGTTAAAACTTAACAACGTTATATTTGTTAGCTACACTTCTCACCTTGTTAATTTTTTTTATCTAAATAGACAGTTTGTTTTGAATCGAAATTTACCATTACTTATTTATATACTTAAAAATCGCTAGGGCGCTCGACTCGCAATCTGAAGGGGCGCGGGTTCGAATCCCCGTCCCACCAAACATGCTCGCCTTTTTAGCCGTGGGGACGCTATAACGTGACGATCAATCCCACTATTGGTTCGTAAAAGAGTAGCCTAAGAGTTAGTTGGCGGTGATTGGTGATGACTAGCTGCCTTCCCTTTAGTCTTACAATGCTGAATTAGGGATGGCTAGCGCAGATAGCCCTCGTGTAGCTTTGCGCGAAATTCAAAAACAAACAAACCAATATCATACTCAATGAAATACTTATTTAGTCTCAAATGTTTATTACGTCCTCAAGAAATAAAATAATTTCATCAAGAAGTTTCCTGGACTGATAATCAATAAAAGTGTGGTTGTAAACATTTAAGAATTGTTGAAGTGAATGCTAAGGAAAACACGAATGACAATTAAGAATGTGAAGAAAAAAAAGTTTTTTAGGAAGAGTAATTGTCGTTGAAGCGGCAATTTGCTAACAAGTAAAATGTTGAAAGAATGCTGACGAGTTTGTACTTTTCGAAAGTGTAATTACGCTGTAAGACTTCAAGGCAAATGTACCAGTTTCGACGCGATGTACTTGTAACTAATGGAACAACGCACACTAGTTCGTCCACTCAATTGATTTTAGAAGAATTTGGTATCTGGACAGATCACGAAGAAATTTCCGAAACATACAAATTTCGACACGGTCGATAAAGAATTTGTCGTTACTAATTTATTTAATTTTTAAGCACAGTGGCACTTACAACACCAGAAACCGCATTTCGATATCCGTGGTAAGCAGAGCGCAGATAGCCCATTCTTACTCCACATCCATTATGTCAGCATAAAATAAAAGATTATTCCAAACGTACAGGTTTAAAGTTAATTACGTAACTTGACTAGATTATGCATAAGCTTGTCAGGATAGAGTTTTATTTTTTGCTATCTTAACTTGTAGCTGTGTACAGAAAAACGGACGTACTACCTTACAGCGGACTCGGCTACAACGATGGAAGAATGGATAAGAGGTAAAACTCAGTTCCTTGATATTTTTGTTCAGATACGTTTCAGTAGTCGGTGATTAAAAAATTGTACTTGTGGTTTATATATTAAAAACACAGAAACGTGATGATTAGAAAGTGCTTTTTTTTCGTTATTCATGTAAAAAATAAAAGTTTTAACTCGCTAGTCTTACTTGTTGGTGTGTATGTATTGACGAACAAAGCATTATGGGAGCTGAAAACCTGGATGATTGAAATGGAATTTACTGGCGTACATAGGTATTTAGAACGTATTTTTACATCTCATTGTATCAAAATGTGCATTTGTTTTAGTAGAATTGTTAATTTTTCCAGTCAACATCTTAATTCTTTGCTTTGTTTTCCATAACAGTTATACCTCCAGAAAAGCAGTTAAACGCTTTATCGTTAAGTGACCAAAAATATAAAATTTCCTGGTGCCTAAAGTACGAAAAGCCCTTAATCGAACAACAGTGGGTTAAACATAGCGGATGTTGGAATTTTAGAAATTGCTAATAATAACCACTGTAAATGTAATTAAATGAGGTGGAAGAACATCTTTTATTAAATGTAGAAACGTGTAAGCGCCTGGCTGATTTTGTTAAAAGATTAATGAAACGGCTACCATTTCATAAATGTGTAAAACTGTTGTGTTAAATATTTCCGTCACTTAATTTTATTCAGAGGTGCAATTATCTTAATGGAAGTATAAACGTTATCTTTCCTTTCTATTCTCAATATTGGTTATTTGGAAGGCGGAATGGTACAACTTTGTAAAAAAAAGGTTGATGTTGTTCACCTTAATTTTGAAAGTAAAATCATATTTCACTGTATTTATTGGATATTTGTATAAGTACTGTGGACTTAATTATGTGTATTTTGCATAGTTTTACAGAACGTTCTCAGAAGACATGCCACTCGCCTCCTGTTGAGCAAAGAAGAAAACAAACCAACGATAGAGGGCTGGTTAACAAAGGTAAAAGACAGGGTCATCAATACTAAAGTAGCATCAGCGTAACAGGGAACTACTTAAAGAAATACAAATACAAGATATTACCTAACGTATCTTCAACTTGATAACTAAGGACTTATTATGCTGTAATACTGTAATAATAAATCATCAATAGAGAAAATATTCAACTGAGTTGACTTTCAGAAGATTCTCCATGTTTGCTAAATAACATTGCCCCCCTCCCAATGGCATAGCAGTATGTCTGCGGACTTACAACGCTAGAAACCAGATTTCGATACCCGTGGTGGACAGAGTACATATAACCCATTTGTACTTAACTTTGAACAAAAAAAAATTTACAAATTAAAAGAGAGAAAGAAGTCCACAATGTTTGTGCAAGAAACATACATACGGACAGACAGACGGTTGATTAAGTATGCAGACGGAACTTTTACGGTTCTGGCACTTAAAGCCTAAACCCCCTGGGACTTTTCAGTTACTAGAGCACAGATAGTCCCATTGTGTAGCTTTGTGCTTAACTTCAAACAAACAAATAAAAATAACATTGGCTTTTATGTGCTAAATAACTGACTATTACAGAAGCAGTGCAAAGTAACATCAATAATAAAGAGAATCTGAAAACAACTTCCTTGATTTCCCGTTATCATTTTTTATTTACAAGCTCCAAATAAACAACTTACATGTACAGCTCTAAGCTGTTTAACTTGTTTATATATGTGGTGTTCTTTACTCGCCAAAATATCTGATAGGTATTTGAAGCATTAATTCTGCTGAATTATTCTTCTGTGCAACATAACTTACATTTTTGTTGTTTGAAAAATGATACGTTCAGTTACACTGTAATGAGTCCTTTTTTTTGTTTGTAGGTGAAACATGGACATTCTCGACGTTGTTGGTGTGTTCTGATTGGCCGAATGTTCCTGTATTTTAAGACACCTAACGACACAGTAAGTAAATTAAACTTTGTCAAACAATTTTGTGCAACTCGGTTCCAAATTTAATTTAAAAAATCTACTACGCAGCGTAGTAACACCATAAAATGCGTTAATGTTGTCACATTATAAAGTGTGTTAACGTTGTTAGACAGTATAATATACTCGTGTTCTCATACATTAAAATGTGTTAATATTGCAACACTACAATATTTGTTAAATTTGTAACACCATAAATGTGTTAACGTTTTCGCACTGGGTTCATTAACCGCAAAAAGATAAACTTTCCTAAAACATTTGTTTTTTCAGTGAAAAAATAAGATTATTGGATTAATGCATAGGAATTTGTTTTGTTGTTGACATTTTTGTACATGACCGTATTATATTGTTCTACAGGTACCAACGTCCTTTAGACATTTTTATACAAGACCTTATTAGATTGTTCCACAGGTACCAACGTGTATCACTGTTCCTTTAGACATTTTTACACATGACCATATTATATTGTTCCACAGGTACCAACGTGTATCACTGTTCCTTTAGACATTTTTACACATGACCATATTATATTGTTCCACAGGTAACAACGTGTATTACTGTTCCTTTAGACATTTTTATACAAGACCGTATTATATTGTTCCACAGGTAACAACGTGTATCACTGTTCCTTTAGATATTTTTACACATGACCGTATTATATTGTTCCACAGGTAACAACGTGTATCACTATTCCTTTATAAAGTTTTCATATATTTTCTTTAATATAAGTATATTTACCAATTATTATATATGTGGATCGATCCGAACAGAAAGGATAGAACACTGACAAATGTTGATCCCCTTGGTTACTAAGCCCGGGGGGTATAAGGATGGAATGTTGGACTTGAACTATTAAATTAAATCAAGAATTTGTATTTATATGGATCATTTATTTCACACGTATTTTACCATACAAATACTTTATTTCATACCTATTTTATTTCACATTTTATTCCATACCTATTTTATTTCACACCTACTTAATTCCATACCTATTTTATTTCATACTTATTTTATTTTATACCTACTTTATTCCATACCTATTTTATTTCACACTTACTTTATTCCATACCTATTTTATTTCACACCTTCTTTATTTCATACTTATTTTATTTTATACCTACTTTATTCCATACATATTTATTTCACACCTTCTTTATTTCATACTTATTTTATTTTATACCTACTTTATTCCATACATATTTTATTTTACACTTACTTTATTCCATACTTATTTTATTTCACACCTACTTAATTCCATACCTATTTTATTTCACACTTACTTTATTCCATACTTATTTTATTTCACACCTTCTTTATTTCATACTTATTTTATTTTATACCTACTTTATTCCATACCTATTTTATTTCACACCTACTTTATTCCACATTACAGAAAAAGTGTTACAATTACTTTGCTTTGCTTTACTGTATTACTTTTACTAATTCCTTATAGCCTCAAAGCCTAGGCTATAGGGATCCCCTAGTGGAACAGCAATAAGTTTAGAACCTTACAACGCTAAGATACGGGTTTCAATTCACTGTGATGGACAGAGCGCAGATAGCCCATTATGTAGCTTTTCGCTCAAAGAGATCCAGCGAAAAAAAAATGTAGAATCTCTTTTAACTGCAGACAATCTACTTATTTTTGGTTGTTTTCTTTACTACCAAATATATGTAGTATATATATATATATATATATATACATCTTATCACCAGACTTCATTTTGTTTTATATGTTACAAATTCTTATTCCGCATTTCGTGACATTAAAAAGTCATTTTTACTAATATTTAAATGTTTGTAGCACTCCCTACTGGGAAAATAAGTCGTTTATGTCGATGGTAAGATAAGACTTTAATTAGGTTAAATTCCTTGTTCACAACCGAACACTTCTAAAAGCTTTTTTTTTTTAGTAACAATTATTATCGGTTTTACTTACATTGGAATGAACATGTTGCCTTTGGGATAAATTGTAAACTGAAAAAGCAGGAACTTGTTTTCTTTTTACTTTGTAAATCGTTTTACCTTTTTTGTTGGTGGTGGTGTGATACCAGTATTGCTGTAAATCAACTTGGTGCTTAAATTTTCTATTTCCCGTTCCACTTGGCAAATTTGAAAAGAAAGAAAAAAAAAACAGTCTCGAAGGATTCCTAGTTTCGTAACAAATCATATTTTAGTAGCAACAAAACCAGATGCTCCAATCAATGAAATTTTTTTATGAATGTTGTCCACGAACGGGAGCTTGAAAAAAAAAATTTATATTTAGTAATCAGTATGTAGAAATGACCATTAAATAAGTCCTTTTGTCTTTTAGAGATATGTTAAAGTTTTGTTGATAGCTAGAGTAAACTAAAATAATGTTTACTGTGTAGAGTTCTGTTTATACTAGAGCCGTATGTGTAGAGTTCTGTATATACTGGAGCTGTATTATTTATTTAGTTGTAAACAATAGTTTCTTAGCACTAAACAATCCATTTATTTAGTTGTAAACAATAGTTTCTTAGCACTAAACAATCCATTTATTTAGTTGTAAACAATAGTTTCTTATCACTAAACAATCCATTTATTTAGTTTTAAACAATCGTTTCTTAACACTAAACAACCCATTTATTTAGTTTTAAACAATAGTTTCTTAGCACTAAACAATCCATTTATTTAGTTGTAAACAATAGTTTCTTAGCACTAAACAATCCATTTATTTAGATTTAAACAATCGTTTCTTAACACTAAACAACCCATTTATTTAGTTGTAAACAATAGTTTCTTAGCACTAAACAATCCATTTATTTAGTTGTAAACAATAGTTTCCTAGCACTAAACAATCCATTTATTTAGTTGTAAACAATAGTTTCTTATCACTAAACAATCCATTTATTTAGTTTTAAACAATCGTTTCTTAACACTAAACAACCCATTTATTTAGTTTTAAACAATAGTTTCTTAGCACTAAACAATCCATTTATTTAGTTGTAAACAATAGTTTCTTAGCACTAAACAATTCATTTATTTAGTTGTAAACAATAGTTTCTTAGCACTAAACAATCCATTTATTTAGTTGTAAACAATAGTTTCTTAGCACTAAACAATCCATTTATTTAGTTTTAAACAACCCATTTATTTGCAGACTCCAATGGGCCAAATAACAATGAGGGACTCGCGGGTGGAGGAAGTCCTTCATGTCTCTGATAGTGACGAGGAAGAGGAAGAGGAAATGATGAGTAGATCGGAGTTCACCGTGGGAATCTTCCCAAACCACCAAGGACCAACATACCTCTTGATGACTAGTAAGCAAGAAATGGTAAGCTCGTGAGGCGTTATAACGTGACGGACAATTCTACTATTCAAAAATAAAAGAGTCGCCCAAGAGTTGGCGGTGGGTGGTGTTGACTAGCTGCCTTTCATCTAGATTGTCACTCCTAAATTAGGGACTTAGTGCAGATAGCCCTCGTGTGGCTTTGCGTGAAAACCAACAAACAAACATACCTACAATATATCTGTATTTGTGTGTGTGTGACATACCTTCAAATATATACATGTAACATACATATAAATATATACATGTAACATACCTATGAATATACATGTAACATACCTATAAATATATACATGTAACATACCTATAAATATAAACATGTAACATACCTACAAATATACAATATTAGAAGGATAGACTGATTTTTCCACTAACTTTAAATCATAAATGAGTAAATAAATATTCTCAAGTTTTAAAATCGACCTTTTACACCACTTACTCTGGGGAAAAAAAGGAAACAACACTTGAAAAATAGGTACACGTTGCTATGTTTAGTTATATTACGGTTTCAATAAAACTGCGAACTTGCACCTGAGATATAAAAGTAAGTACATGGGAAAAAATATATAATGTTTCATTGGTAAAACCACTTTTAGTTAGAAAATGTTTTAAATTGTTCATATGTTTAAGAAGAAAAAAAATCAGTTTCTGATAGTCACACGCTTCACTCCAAAACGCCCGTATCTCCAATTTTTAAAACTCATAAAATAAATATTAATTGGAGAGCCTGCTTGGGGCGCCCATCTAATAGTTACAGGTTATTTTGCAACTGAACATATTAGAAGAAAAAAGAAAAGATTTTTAAACAAACAAGTGGTCAATACTATTATAAGTTCCATAGAAAAAAAAAATATATATATATACTGTTGGAGCGAACAATTGATTTAGTATTATTGATTTGTTATTGTTAACAAATAAATAAATGAAAATGGAAAATAACAATTAGAATTTTTTTTCACCACATAATTTGATTTAGCCTAACATTAAATTATTAATTGTTCTCTGTAATTTGTAATCTAAATATTGTTTAGCTCTGTTATAGTAGTGTCCTCTAGTGAGAAAATACTTTAAATTTTATATTGTTGTATTTAACTGTTTTGCCGAAGAAATAAATATTAGTCATAGAACGTCACTTTTCGTAAAGTTTTCTCCCTTTACAGATCCAAGATTACTCTAATGTTTCTTGAGATGTAGCTTATATGACATCAACGTGCTTTCTTAATGAGTAGTTTCCTACAAATCTGGTGTTCATCTGACATTTTCTTTTGAAGCGTTACTGATCTTTATGCCAGTTGCTAGCGGATTCGTGAGCATATAGCCCAAATTTACAGGGCCGCTATAATGTACATTTATTGCTTGAACTAGTGTTGTGCACTTTTCGGTATAATGATCATTGCCGCTATAATGCAAATGTAATTTTTTTAACCAAGTTACGAACTGTAATTAGTAGGCCTACTAATTTACGTTCTCTAATGTAAATCGATACCAAATTTGAGATCCGTTTTCGAGGAATTCCCGTAAAGGTGTTTTCGCGAAATAAGCAGGTTTCCTCTGGGGGGTGGGTAAAAAGTTTTACCTTTGTGCAAACCTCGGTACCGAGACGATTCGTTTGGTACCACTTAATTAAAAGTCGGTGCGGCCAGCAGTTTAGGAGGAGTTATGCGACACACAAACCGAATTTTATTATATAGATGATGTCACAAGCTCTATGTGTTTATTTACAGGACGCTTGGCTCTATCATCTGACAGTGGTGTCTTCTGGTGAGAACTTAGCAGGAACTCAGTACGAGCAGCTTATAGCCAGGCTAATGGAAGTTGATGGGGACGAGAGTAAGAACTGTGTACAAAATTCTTTTTATCCTTTAAAGACAGAATCCTTAACCCTTTTCTTAAGTAATGATAATAATAAAGTTGAGAAAAACTTTAGGTGAAAATCTCAGATGTCGATATTTTAACAATATAATATTTCAGGAATTTCTGTTTTTCTTTCATTTCAATATTCTGGATCATTTTAAACTAGTATGACCATGGACTATGGACATTTTCTCGTCATCGGCATTTGAAATAAAACCATAGAATTTTACCATTTTTTTTAAACATTACATTATCTATATCTGACAGTATAAGTAATACAAGTTACTTTTGAGGGGGAAAGTAATACCATTTTGATAATCTTACAGCACTTTTAATGAATTCGACACTGCTGGGTATTAAAGGCCTATACTACTCCAAGATTATAGGTAATTTATACTACCACTTCAGGCCCGGCATGGCCAGGTGGTTAAGGCACTCGACTCGCAATCTGACGGTTGCGGGTTCGAATCCCTGTCACACCAAACATGCTTGCCCTTTCAACCGTGATGGAGATAGAATGTTACGATCAGTCCCACAGTTCGTTGGTAAAAGGGTAGCCCAAGACTTGGCGGTGGGTGGTGATGACTAGCTGCCTTCCCTCTAGTCTTACACTGCTAAATTAGGGACGGCTAGCGCTGATAGCCCTCGTGTAGTTTTGCGCGAAACTAAAAAAAAAAAAAAAAACTAACTACTTCAAGCCCTGATACCATTAAGACGAAATAAATACAAGATAAGCTCAGTTCTTTCTTCGTTGTTTTTTATGTATATATAGAGAGAAAACGGTTAGAAGTTTTATTCCTGAATCCGGTTGTACCAAGAAGAGGGAGCTGGAAGCTCTTAAAAATGCATTTTTTGTCCCGCAATTGTGGAGGAACTAACCTCTTATAAGACTTTATGTTTTTAACAGGGTGGTTATCTAGAGTGTAATAATTTTCACGTTTTCTGTTCTTTTTTTTTTCCATCAGATAGTGTGATTTGGAGGCATCCTTTGCTTTTGTATTCTAAAGAAAACATACCCCAACCACTCACCACCTTACCGTCCGATCTACTTCAAGCGGAGGCTGTCAAGTTGTTTAAGGTACTTAATGTGTAACGGCGTCTTTCACGGTTAAGTTTTTTAAAGTTTTCATCATTTACTACAGTACTATATTAAACTGTTGTAGTTTTTTAAACATTGAAGCATTAGGGTAAATATTAACATGAAAATAATAGTGGCCAAAATCCTATAGATGTGATGTAAACAGCGTCAGATTTTACTTAACTATGCATCCGTGTCAAAAATATTCTCATTTCACATGTAAAAAGTAAACTCGTGTAGAATGTTATTACGTCCAAAACGTAGTAGCCTGTTAGTCATTTGTACCAACATGTAAAAAATACACCTGATTTATTGTTGTAACAAACTCAATTCAAATACTCTATTAAACAACCAAGACTTGTATCTTTTTTCCAGTCCATCCAGCTCTTTATCTCCGTACCTCTGGACACCTCGGGTATCGACTACCACGTGGCTCTTGCCCAGAATGCCTTGCTACAGTGCCTCACTGCTCCTGAGCTGCAGAATGAATTATTTTGTCAGTTAGTCAAACAGACATCACGTCATTCTTCCCAGAAGCTTGGTGTCCAGGTTAGAAGATGGGTGACTGATATCGCCCTCTATGTTTTAAAAAAAATGCATAAAGTTATATTCTGCACATATGCACTTCGGATACTCCTAAAATTAACAAATTCACTTCTTTAAAATGTATATAGTTTGTTTTACGTAAAATCTTACCCCAATTTTCAAAAACGTATTTATGTGGGAAAAAACTGATTAGATTTCAAGATTTTATTGACATATATTTTATAAAATCTCCGTTGTATTAAACTGCTTTTATTACTCACTTAATAAGAAAGTAATTAATTGTAATTCTTCGTATATTTAATGTGAAGCGAGAATTAACCTAATAGAAATATTAAAAACTAGTTGGAGTACCCGTCCCCTGGACGGAAGTTATGTAAATTCATGATTAATGAAAGATTATATTTGGACATGAAAAGTTGTTTCCCTTATAATATGTAATTGTAAGAAACGCCCAGAAAAACATAAAATGTGAAATGAGAAGTTTGTATGTATCTCCCCATGGACCCAATGAACTTCCATACCAGTTTTGGTAAAGATCCAACCACACCATGCGAAGTAATTACATGGACATAACAGACAGTACTATTATATTTATATAGATTGTGTTTCAGTTTTTCTTAGAACTACTGCTTCACTCTACAATAAAAACACTACTCTTCCACGCATAGTTACAGAGTGTTGCCATGGTACCAGATGACTATCACTTTGTAATGTAAAAACTGTAACAAAGAAAAGTCTCAGCCGCTTTGTTAAGCCTAACCTTGAAATCATTGTATCCTTGCAACCGACAAAAGGTTTCAATACTGTGTTCAATTTTAACCCTCCATTGCAGACATTATGAGAATGTGATTGACAAAATACATTCTTTCAATTTTTTACTTAAACAGGCCTATATTATACAACTATTATTTTTGTGAAATGTATTTTGACAAGTTGTAAATGGATACGTTAGCTAAAACTAAAAGTAACATTGTTCAATTGAAGAACCAACAGAAATACATCCACGGTTTACTTAGACTGTTACTTGGAAGTGGAAGTAAGAGCATTCAACTACAGAATTGAAGCATTTGTTTGCTTACTAAGCAACAAACAAAGATCTGTTACTTGGACGTTACAATGTGCAGTAGAGGGTTAATTGTGAACCCTTTGTATTTGGATGCCCTATTGCTTCCATCTAGTTTGCAAAATTGCAGCTCTAGAGAATGATTTACTTCGCCAAAGGATTGGAAATTATTCATAAAAGGTGCAAATAAATTTATTTCTTTTACATTGTCTGTATTTCTAAAATGAGTAGTTTGCAAATGCTAATTTTTCTACTGATGTTGAAGTTATCTGAAAGAAAGTTGACACATATTTTAGTTTTTGTTTGTCCCCTTTCCTTTGTTTGGTGTGGATATGTATTAGGTATACAGTATCTGTGCTTTGTGTTGAAAAATTGTAGTGTTCAAGTTTTTTACTTTTGACAAACTGTTTTGAGTTGTATGTATAAGTAATGCTGAAGATGATAGTAGTTTTGTCTTAGCATTTAAAACATTGATAAAAGTCCATAGTCTACCTGTATAATGACTTGTTACAAGACTGTCATGTTCCTACTGCTAGAAACATAAGGTGAGTTTCAAAGATGACTGAGTAGCAGTACTGTGTATGTATCAATTTAAAGTTTTCAGTTTACATTAACAGCTACTATTACTAAAGTATATTTGAGAGTCAGATAAACCTAATTGTATATATTACTTCTATATTTTCTACAGCAACTTCTTTTATGTGCCACTCAATCCCTGTTTCTGTGTGACAGCTCCTCTACGGAGCGAACATCACCCACCTGTACCACTCCTCCTGACAGATCACATTCAGCTGAAAGCAAGTTGAATCCTGCCCCTTTTGTGTTTGTCCAGGCATGGCAGCTTTTAGCTTTAGCCATCCCCCTCTTTGTTCCCAAGAACCGTACCCTATGGTACCTCCGTGCTCATCTAGAAAGAAATGCCGACTCTTCGTAAGTATCCCAATGCATTTATTTTGGTCCTAAGATTTGTAGCCTGTGGCATATTTTGTACACCATCGTGAGTTACGAATATTTGAAATTCCTATGTGTTTTATTCCCAGGAATTCTGCTGTTCCAAAATAGTATTAGCCATTACTTTCACTTTAAATATAATAAAATTTCACCACCTCTGTGTATTTTCCAAGAAAGGATTTTTTATATGTTTGTGTTTTTGATCTAATTTTTGAGAGATGAAAAAAACAACAACAAGGCCTTAACTTTTTGCAATATGTTTAAACATAATAATAAACATTCTCCAAACCTGCCTCCACATCTTAGCCTTTTTTTGTATAATTTTATATCTTTAAAGAATATCTATAAATGAGATGGTTTGAGTTAAGATGACTTACAGATGAGAGGAGCATGTTCTTTGATAGTAACAAAAATAAAAATGAGGAGAAAAACTGTTTTTACATCTTTTTTCCTTAAAGTATATTTAGAGCCATAAGAAAATTGCAAAATAAAATCTTAATTGTAAACAATTATTCCAGAATAATACTTTCTAATTTAATTGATTCTTATTCTTTTTTTTTCCTAAATGTTTCTACTAGTACTCCCTTATTTAGCCATTGTTTTGTTTTTATTTTAAGGTACATCCATCCATCATTCCACACATCTGTTCTCGTAATGCAAAATGAGAATGTATGTTGAGAAGTTATGCATGGCTCTCAGTAGACTAATCTTGTTGAATCTCCTTAACAAATTGTGCTCAAGATTGATAATTCTATGCATCTACACTGAA